ATATATATATATAATATTCTCGACTATATTTACAAAAAAAGCTATTTGGTGAATTCACTTTTTACCGCGCGAAGTGCGGATAAGTTAACTAGTGAAATACTAAATCCTAGACAAAAATAGTTAGTGTAACTAAACTATCCTTAATTAAATGTTGAAGCATAGTTGTAGTAGCACTTACTTCTCTCCTCAAATGTGAGGATTAAATGACCTTTTAGAGATACGTACATAAGGGTAATTTTGGAAAAACAAACTGAATTTTTTCTTGATTATATAAATGGACACTTATTTCGGACCAAAATAAAAAAGTAAATTGGTCACTTATTGTGGGCCGAAGAAAATACTCCCTTCGGTCCAAATAAGTGATTTTTTGGTTGTTTTCACACATATTAAGAAACTCACCTTTTAACATTAATTAGCAATAAAATTGACTATATTCACCTTTACTATTTTTTCACATAAACACTCCTAACACATACTCCAACATTATTTACTCCAAGGGCAATATAGGAAAAAAACAATTAATTCATTCTTGAAATCTGGAAAAATTACTTATTTTGGACCACAAAAAAGAAGCCAAAAAATCACTTATTATGAACCGGAGGGAGTAATAAATTTTTTTCTCATTTTTTAAGTATTGTAGGCAGAATTATTAGATACGAGTATCAAGTGGTATCGAAATGCGTTACATGCACTGTCCTCATTATGTCCACTAGGATCCTTTTCATATCTCGATCAAATAAAGTCATGCAAGATATTATATGTTTGTCGCCCCCACAAGTTTATCTTCATTGAACCTTTCTTTGTAAGTTGTAACAAATCATAGCTAGTTCATATCAATACCAACTTAAGAAGAAAAAGAGCGGGGAAATTCTGATCAATATGGAGGCTAATGATGTTCCAACAGCTACTGAAATGTTCCGAGCTCAGGCTCATATCTACAAGCATGCCTTCAGTCTTGCAAATTCCATGGTTCTTCGTTGAGCTATTCAGTTAGGCATACCGGACATAATTCATAGTCATAAACAACCAATGACTCTCTCTGAGTTAGTTTCAGAGCTGAAACTTCCTCCTGCAAAATCAAATGGAATTCATCGACTGATGCGTACACTCCGGCTTTTTCGCTACTAAAAAGCTTGACGAAATCTCAGAAATTCAACAAGGTTATGTTCCTACAGCTTCTTCTAAGCTGCTTCTGAATAGTGAAATCCCAAATTTGCCACCTTTTGTTAGAGCAATGGTTGATCCTGTTATGGTGAATCCATGGCAATCTTTAGGGGATTGGTTTCTTGGAAATGAAACCACCCCATTTGAAACAGCACAAGGTGCATCCATGTAGGAATATTGTTATCAAAATCCAAGATTCAACAAAGCTTTCGATGAAGCAATGGCTAGTGATTCCCAACTGATGAGTTTGGTAGTGAAGGACTGTAGAGAAATTTTTGAAGAGCTAGATTCCTTGGTTGATGTTGGAGGAGGCACTGGTGTTATGGCTAAGACTATTTTGGGTGCATTTCCTCATATAAAATGCACTGTCTTAGACCTCCCTCGTGTTGTTGCTAACATGCCAAATACAGATAACTTGAAATATGTGGGAGGTGACATGTTTCAGTCAATTCCCTCTGCTGATGCCATTTTGTTTAAGGTAAAACAGGAGTACTAGTTTTTGGGTGTGTTTGGTACGAAGAAAGTTTTCAACTTTCTCTTGTTTGGTTAACTTAAATGTTTTGAAAATATTTTTCTAATGAACTCATTTTTCTTCCGAGCTCTTTTTCAACCTTTTCCACCATATCCCATCCCTACCAACCCCCACCAACCTACTCCAACACCCTCACCTACCGTCCCCACCCTATTCCCCATCCCTACCAACCCCCACCAACCCACTCCCACAGCCCCACCTACCGACTCCATCATCGCCCATCCTACCACTCATTTTCTAGGAAAATATTTTTCATGGAAAATATTTTCCTTCGTACCAAACATACCATTTGTTTGTTTTAATTTGTTCACAAGTTGACATATACTCACTCAGCTCGTCCAATTTTTGTGATGGTGCTTGACTGATTATGAAGTTTAAAACGATAAGAAAATTACTGAAACTTGTGATCTAAAATAAATTATAGATATACGTATGGCTATAAATTATTTTATTAAGGATAAAATCAACAATTTAAAGTTAAACTGTATAGAATATTTTAGAATTGACTAAAAAAAGGAATATCACAGAGAGTACTATACTTAATCTATATGTCTGTACAGAGTCACTTGTAAGAATAGCATAATGTTAATCCATGTTCCTCATGGCCGAGGAAGCATCAATTTTTTATTATTCGAAAACCCCTTCGCAACTTCAATGTTCATACTTTATTATGTAGTCTTTCAATTACTATATAGTTTCTATATTAAAAGTTATAGGTCGTTAATTGTGATATTTATGAAGGGTCTGTTAAGTTCGGTTATTACATTATTACTCTTTTTTTTGTTGCTAGAACGGAAAAATAGGCGATTTGAATCCCCACTCTTCTAATTTCCACGTCTTGATTTCTTGGTTATACCAATGCCTAACAAAAAGTTAAGAAACTTTATCCGATGCTTAAAATTGAAAATATGATTTTTTTTCTTTTGCAGGTTGTTATGCATAATTGGAGTGATGAGGATTGTGTGAAGATGCTAAAGAGATGCAGAGAAGAGGTTAAAAACGAAGGAAAAAAAGGGAAGGTCATTATCATAGACATAGTGCTGAATAGAGATGATGAAGAACCAGACATGACTGAACTGATTGAAGTAAATGAAATGAAAATGATTTTGCAATAGCTAGCTCTGCACGTACTTGGTATAGCTGTTTATTATTTTCGACTTAATAATAAATAACCAATTTTTAAAAAGGAAAGCTAAAGATTTTAACTTTTTTTATATTTTTAGTTGTAAAAAAATGAGCTCATCAAAACCAGAAAAGCCTTAACATGGGTAGTGTTTGATATTTGGAATTAGTTCCTGAGAAAATTTTAAAGAAAAGCAGAAAGAGCAAATACAGAGACGGATATATAAAAACAAACAAAAGGGCGGTTAAGTTTCAATGCTAAAAGACAGGAAATTGAAGTCCTAAGATAAACATGAGAATAAGCTTAGAGCTGACATTTGAATGTTACACTCACACTTATTAAGCCAACAATGAACCATATGACAAAAGAAAAGAGTGACTTGTCACAATTCTGAGCATACCATTACAAGCCTAGCTCAATACATAAAGATAGCTCATGTATCACAATTGCCTAGTTTCAGCAACAATTGTAGGGAACTTCCTGAGCTAATAATGGAAACAGTTAATATTAATGAGTTGTTCAAAGCACAGGCTCATATCTACAAGCATGCATTTGGTTATGCAAATTCCATAGCCTTGAATTGTGCCATTCAATTAGGCATACCAGATATTATACATAACCACAAAAAAACCAATCACTCTTCCTGAGCTACTTTCAGCACTCAAAATTCCCTCATCAAAATCAATTGGCATTTATCGACTAATGCGCCTGTTGGTGCACTCTGGATTCTTTGCTACATCAAAGGTCGACGAAAACTCAGAGACAGAAGGATATATTTTGACAACTCCTTCAAGGCTGCTTCTAAAAAGTGAAATCCCAAACTTGTCACCTTGTGTAAGAGTAATAGCTGATCCTGTCCTTTTCAATACTTGGCAATTATTGGGTGAATGGTTTCGCAATAAGAATGAAGAAGCAACAACATTTGAGACAGCACATGGGTTACCTATGTGGGAGTTTTGTGCACAAAATCCACGATTCGACAGAGTTTTCAATGAAGGAATGGCTAGTGATTCCCAAATGATGACATTAATTGTGAAGGACTGCAGGGAAGTAGTTGAGGGGATGAACTCATTAGTTGATGTTGGAGGGGGCACTGGGATTATAGCTAAGACCATTTTGGAGGCATTTCCTCACTTGAAATGCACTGTCCTTGATCTTCCACATGTTGTTGCCAACATGCCACAAAGTGAGAATTTAAGCTATGTTAGAGGGGATATGTTTCAATTTATTCCCCACGCTGATGTCATTTTGCTTAAGGTATGTACAAGAACTTTATACTTAATATATCCTTTATAAAGATGAGTTTAACTTTTAGCCACACTATGAAATTACTTAAAAGATTAGTTCGTAAACTTAGATTGTTAAAACTAATTTTACGTTTGTTTTATCTAATTAACCATCTTTGAATTTGGCAGAACATTTGTTCAAATTAATCGAAGTTCGATACAATGTCACATTGTTATGTTTTGCAGCATGTATTGCACAGTTGGAAAGACGAGGATTGTGTTAAGCTACTGAAGAAATGCAGAGAAGCTATTGCAGAGAATGAAGAGGGAATAAAAGGGAAGAAAGTCCTTATCATTGACATGGTATTGAATAGAGATGAAGAAGAACCAGACATGACTGAAGTGAAGCTCATGTTTGACATGTTAATGGCAATGGTTTTTACTGCTAAAGAAAGAACGGAGGAAGAATGGGAAAAGCTATTCCTTGAAGCTGGCTTTACTCGTTACAATATAAGACCAGTCTTTGGCCTTAGGTCTCTTATTGAAGTTTTATCTTGAATATATATATACTTATATGGGGTTTTTATGTTTTTCTTAAGAGAGATGATGTTCATGTTGTGCTCTGATAAACAAAGACTTGCCTTCTTACATAATAATAAATAACCCATTTCTTTGTTTTATTAAGCAGTGTCCCAAGGTATTCTATTTGTAGTTCCTTCAAGAGACTAGAGTCGAGAATTATCACCAGCATATGACTCCCTTGGTATCAAGGCCTTACTAGTGGCTCTAGTAGTAAAATTTTACTTTTTTTTCTACGAAGCCCAATAAAAGTGGACTGATAGCCCAGGAGTTAATCTTGATTGGAATCTTTACATAAAGGGAAATTACCAGCTATGTCCATTTATAAGTAGCTCATTACAAAAATTGGCCAATTGATAAAATATTACTAATATTAGCCAATTTAGCCAATTAGCTATTTGTAGCAAAAAAATATCAAATTTTTGCTTTGTTTTGAGTGGGTGTTATTAGAATAGATTGGGCACAACTTAAGGAGCTTGAATCTCAGTTTTGGGATGATTTGGTGAAGTTTTGAGGTGGTTTGAATTGAAAATTCGAAGTAAAAGCTGAACATGAAAAAAATGAGATGTGTATCACACTCTGTATCATTTGTGTATCACACATGTATCATATTTGTATCAATTGTGTATCACATGTATATCCATGTATGCCTGTGTGTGAGATACATGCGTGATACATGTTTGATACATGTGTCGCAGAAGACTTTTTTGAACTCGATTTAATTACGAATTTTGATACAAAACCAGTCCAAATCACCTCCAATCTTCCTCAAAATTTGTATATTGGCTTATCTATATATTTTCAATGAATTTCAACTATACCCATTGAAAAAGTTCCTTTTTTGTTTAGATTTTTGGAATATTGCATAGATTTTTGTATTTCATCACCTTATTTGCTACCCCGTCCATAAAATTTCCTTCCCGTCTTGTATCTAATGTTGCTAATCACGTTTAAAAATATGGAAGGTGACTTTTGCATGTGATTCTTTGAGAGAAAGAATCCTATTATTTGGTTTTTCAATTTTTGTTGGCTAGTTTTGGTAAGTCTATGACTAATGGCTAGAGGTTGGTAAGTTGAGATTTATTTGGGACATTTGTGTAAGTTTCCCTTACATAAATAGCCAGTGGGAGTTACCATTTATTTTCTCTAGTCAGACATAGATTATACACGATTATTAGAAATATTATACATGGATTATCCATATGTTATACATCCATCGGCTATTTTTAGTTAAAGCGATGAAGTGAGCGACTATTTAAGTTAATTATTAAACTTTGGGTTGATTTAATGGGGACTTACATGATACGGTGCCATATACGCTGCAATTTTGCCTACCAGTTTAATAGCATATTTGACCAAGCTTCCAAAATCTGCTTACTTTGAAAAGTGTTTATGTTACGACCATAAAACGAGCCCGGTCGTGATGGCGCCTATCGTGAAATTAGGCCAGCCGACACAAACCCGTAACTAATAAGCAATTCATTATAAGACATTTAAAGTTAATAATTAACTAGAAATCCCATAATATAAGTCGAGATAAACAGTGCAGAAATCAAAACACAGCCCGACATCGGGGTGTCACCAGTCATGAGCAACTATAACTCGTCTAGGAATAAGATAAAGACAACATAGTCTGAAAGAAATGCTGATACAAGACTATATGAGATAAGAAGGAGAGGCACTGGGCTGCGAACGCCAAGCATCTACCTAGTCAACTCCGAAGCCTGCTGGAAGACAAATCAGCACTCATTAGCGTGACCCGAGACTCCTCGATCTGCACACAAGGTGCAAGGAGTAATGTGAGTACGCAACCTTAGTAAGTAATAAAAGTAAAGGCAGCTGAGCAGTAAGAAAGCACGTAAACCACAGCCTAATGCTACTGCAAAACAGTATGAGTTTAGAACAATAACATAAAGCAGCAAAACTCGTAAAATATCTTAGTTCAGTAAAACCATTCTTAAACACTTTTCAACAGTTTCAAACGAGTGATGTAAACGGTGAGTAAAAGTGTAGAAATGAAAAACAGCCCCTCGGGCATCAACATAAATCAATAACCGCCCCTCGGGCTAAATATCAACAGAACCAGCCCCTCGGGCTACCTCACAATCACTCGTAATCGTCCCCTCGGGTAGTAACATGGAACCACAACAGCCCCTCGGGCAATATCACATCTCACATTGGGTACCCGCGCTAACTGGGGGTGTACAGACTTCGGGAGGGGCTCCTTACAGCCCAAGCGCTATCACAAGCCACCTTGTGGCATAACAAATCAGGCTCTCGGCCTTATAACAACAAGCCAACTCGTGGCATAGATCAATCAGGCCCTCGGCCTCACAATAAATCACAATATCCTCACAACATAGGCCCCGACCTTACTCAGTCAGATCTCACTCAAGCCCCTCGAGCTGACAGTAAAACAAGTACTTGGAAAAAAATTATTTATGAAATCAAAAGGAGTGAATAAAACCGAGTTATGAAAACAGTAAGAACATAGCATGGCTGAGTGTAAACATTACACCAAAACAGTGAGGAAAAACGGTAATAAAAGCCCCTAAGTGTCTAAACAATTGGCACAAGGCCCAAACACGACATTTAGCCCCAACACAATAATATTATCCAAAATATAACAATATCAAACAGTTTTCAAGTAAAATACGTGACTTAATAGTCGTACGAGACGGACCAAGTCACAATCCCCAATGGTGCACGACCCCACGCTCGTCACCTAGCATGTGCGTTACCTCAAAATAGCACAGCGAAGTGAAATCTGAGGTTTCATACCCTCAGGATAACATTTACAATCATTACTTACCTCAATCCGGTCCAAACTCTAACCCGCGATGCCTTTGCCTCTCGAATCGGCCTCAACTCGCGTCGAATCTACCCAAAATCAGTATCACAACATTTGAATATGCTAAGGGAATGAAGCCCATGCCAAAATAATCAAATTGCATCAAGAAACCCGAAATTGACCAAACTCGATTCCCGAGACCACATCTCGGAATCCGACAAAATTAACATCAATGAAATCCTTATCCTCCCACGAGTTCATGCATACCAAATTTACCAAAATCTAACCACAAATGACCCCTCAAATCCCAAATTTTAGGTCTCCAATTTTTCATGCCCTAACCCCCAATTTGCTACTGATTTTCCCAAAGATGTCAAGCTTACAACCTTAAAAATCATCATAAAAACGAGTTTAGGAACCAAGGACCTTACC